CTCGACTATCCCTTCTTTAATTAGGCCATCCATGACCTTCTCCATCTCTTGTTGCTTTGCTGGAGCTATTCTCCTCGGAGGGATCGTTATTACACGGTGATTGCCTGTGTTTATTCTGTGCTCCACAAGGTCTGTGCAGCCAAAGTCATGATCTCCTTTTGAAAAGACGTCTGCATAATTCGCCAAGAGTTTTTTAACCTGAAGAGCCTGTGATGATGACAAATGGACTATGCTCTTCTTATAGAAGTCAGTCAAATGTTCTGGGAGTGGATGTCCTTTCTTTATGGTTGTATGTCTTGCCTTAACATTGACTGGCTCTACCTCCTGGCACACACCCAACAATTCCCCTTCCTTAATTGTCTGCTCACATTTAGAGAAATTAGCCACTGTTATGGGTACTACGTAATAACATGCCACAAGTGACCTTCCAATCTTCAAGTCCACTGGCCTGGATGGGTCTTCCACTGCTTCCACAAGCATTGGGCTTCCTTGGGGATGTTCTTTTATTCTATCCCAAATTATATTCTCTGACATATGGGGTATTGTAGTTGACTTAAGTGCTGTGACATGCAAATCAACAGAAGCAGCAACACTTACCGGAATTTGGCCTCTGTTGTTCCCAAACGTCAATTTATCAAAAGTAACTACACACTTCCTCAGTAGTATGTAGTCCAACCATAGTATGCATTGGTCTTCAATGTCAGCCAAGTATACTTTATATCTGTCCTTCATGTATATGAGCTCATTAGTTACCCACACTGATCCCACAATCTTGCATAATGTCCTGTCACACCACAGAGCTTCTGTACAGCTTCAGGTACTCCTTTGTTATCCAGCACCTTGATAATCACAAGGGTTTGCTGAGATGCAGAATCTATGACAAAGTTGCACTTTTGGCCATCCAACTTTCCTGTCACAAAGACACTATGTGTGCTTGCCATTTTATACTTAGCTGTTGGGACTTTTATGATAGGGATTGGTAGGCATCCCTCAACACCAACCACTAATGGTTTCCCTGAGGCTGACTCATTGGTAGTATTCTTCTTACACTGGCTCGTCACATGTCCTTGCTCTCCAGAGTTCTAACAACCTTTCTGGGTAGCAGCCTTTCTTGCCATGGTATCTTCCCTGTGATGAAGTTGCAGGCATTGAACTCTCTTGTGCCTAGGTTTGTTACAGTGCCAGCAAAGTCCCTCAAACTTCTCTGAAAGCTGACCTTTTCTGACCTTGAATCCCGATGACTGTACCAATCTTGGTACCTCTGTGCTGGACTTAACGTAGGATTCGATTTCAAGAGCTCTGGCCATTGCATTCGGCATAGTAGACAGTCCACAACTGAAGATACAAGTAAAGCAAGCACACCCCGGTCTGGTGTTGGCCAATCACGCCTGCTTTCACCTTGTCAGGATCAGTTTGCATACCATGCTCACTTACAATGTGACCCAAGTAAAGCACCTTTTTCTGGAAGAAGTGGCATTTCTTGGGATGGAGTTTGAGGTTTGCTGATTTCCAATGCTTGAATACTTCCTCTAGCTGGGACATTTCCTCATCAAATTTTGTTGCAAACACAATGACATCATCCAGGTACACTAGGGCCATACTTTCCAAGTCCTGTCCCAGCTCTTGCAGGCTCTCCCCTTTAGCATGGACTCTAGCCCTAAACCTATCCCTGTAGACTTCAGACTGATTTTGTGTTCCATACCCGAGTTCTAGAGCAGCAACCAGTGTTCTATAGTTGTGCCTGTCGTCTGCTGACCACTGTCCAAGTATTTCCAGTGGTTGTCCCTTCAAGCTTGTTGCCAGGTACACTGTCTTCTGCTCCTCTGTCCATCCATGTATTTGTGCCAGGAGCTCAAATTGTGCTCTATATGCTTCCCACGATGCCTTCCCATCGAATTCCTTTGGCTTCCTTTGTACTAGATCATCCCTATTGATGACATTCGTGTCTGGGATGTGACTTCTGACAGGACTGAAGATGTTTGCATTAGGGTTTAGCTGCGGGGTCTGGAAGGGACTTCCCGTTGTCTGAGGCTAATTAGGTCGATGGCTAGTATATCCTCCTTGTATTTAATTCGCTTTGAAATTTACTAATGTTTTCCATTTGTGTTCCCTGGCTTTCTCTCAACTG